CAAAATGCTATATATAACAAATATTCTTAACAGACTAAATTTCCAACATCTTTATTGCAGACCACTAGTACCATATGTAATGTTTTAAAAAATTATGCACTGGCTTAAATTGGATGTTATAAAGCTGTATTAAACAACAGTAGATTGAAATGAAGCATACTATAGGATAACCAACAGAAACCAGCTTATCCAGGGTGAGGTGCTGTTAAATAAACTAATTTTAGCTTCCCTAACAGTCCAGTGAATGGTTTTCTTAACTGGAAACGGCCAACATACTTGGGAAGCAAAAGCAATTTATAGAGACTTTGAGAGGTTATTGTTAGCTGCAGTTTTAAACACAGTTGTGATAGCTTGTGGCCTGAGGAATTGGACTAGGAATAAAGTCAAAAGCAACAGTTCATACTGTCAATAGAAAAAACGATTGATTTGCAGGTATCTGATCCTGGCCCCGTATTGCAGTAATGCAGAGTTCATTTCTGGGCAGGCTAAGGATTTGACAAGGCAAAGCTGAAATGCACTGCATTCTAGCAGGCCTTTGGCAATGATCCTAGTCACTATGGCTGGGTACAGACAGTCAAAAGCCTGAGGCTGAATCGATTCAGTCTTTTCAGATTAGTTTAAAATGCACAGATTAAACTAAAACAGAAGTGAACAGACATTTACCTTTGATTCAGGAAATGCAGCCACATGCCTACAGTGGTTCAGGCCAACCACCAGGGAGCGCTAGAGCATGGCTCTCTGGCTGTGTGCTCACTTCCTCTTCCTGCTGCCCCTGAGGTTTCTGGGATTTGCAGCCCAGACTTACAACAGCAGCACTCTGTAGAGTTGTTTATCACTTCCTCTTCCTGCTTCCAGGTGCCTCTGGGATTTGTAGTCCACAGTTGCAGCCAGCAGTAAGTTTGAGTGGGGGAAAGAGTGTTTAACCCCACCGCCTGGCCCCAGACCCCAGCTGAGGTGTGCCTGTGGGGGCAGTTCCCCCCACTGCAGACTGAGCTGCATCCCTAGCTGGGCTTTCCTCCTCCCACCCTCCTTGTCAGCCAGCCCTCACTGCTCCCTCTAGGAAGCACAGGGGTGGGGCCAGCCCTGCTCTCTGGAGCAGACAGCTCAGCCCTGCCGAAGGCTGGAAAGCATGCTGGGAAGCTGGGGGACTCTGATTTAACTTGAACCAGGAAGATGTCTGGGACAGAAGTTTCATAAATTGGTTTAACCTGAATCAGTTAAGTCTCATTTAACCAGGTTTATCTTAAACCAGTTTCAGCCATTTTGAAACTGGCTTATGTGCACTGAGCTTCTGTTCTGTTATAGGTTTAAACCAGCTTCCGATTGCTTAAACTGGTTTATGCATAACTTCTGTCCCTAGTCCATAAAACTGAGCAGTCCAAGAACAAGGGAACAGTGAGGTGGCTTACAACCACCAGTCCTCCACAGTTCGAGGCCTGTACTGATCATGGCTGACCCCAACCTAGAGAGTAGGTCTACCTATTCTAAATGGATACAAAAAGTTTTCAGATTTAGAGCTTGGCAGCTAGTGTTACTATTTAGGAAATGTGCCTGACATTATGGCCTCTGAAATGGAGTTGAAGTTGATATTTATATGTATTCAACTTGTCTGCTTTCCCTGTGCTTTACCTCAGCAGTGTACTCAGTTCCAAGGGGTGATGAGGCATGGCTACTTTGGAGAATTGTTAAGTCTTGATGAGCTGCTGCTCGCATGGAAGCAACTTGCTAAAAGAAAAGTTGCAAAACCAAGAAAACTAATCTGCTAATAACCAAGGAACAGATCAGTTGGTGGGCAACTTTAATGACTTCACAAAAGGGGCTTCAACTTTAATAAAGGATGCCTTTTTCACAAGCTATTCTGGAGTCAGCAAGAGGTGGTAAGAGGAGAAGGCAGTATTATGCACAAGAGGAAGAGGTTTATGTAGGATGCACTAGAGGACTGATCAAATCCGAAAGAATGCTTTTGAGTAGTGAGAAAACTATAAAAAGTAAGGATGGGCATGGAAGTCTTACTACGTTATCTCTATGTGTATGTCTTAGGCTGTTTAAGAGAAATTTTATTAGAAACTGTATTTTATGCTTTGGCCCTCATGTTTCTGTTGGGGTAAAATGCATAGCCAAATGGTTCCAGGGTTGAAGCTATGGTAAAGGGTGTTCTTAAACCACGGGTTTGTCTTGGAAGGGATGGTGTCAGCAGTGGTCTAGGAAGTCTAGGCCAGTTGGACTACAAGGATGTTTTTACAAGTGCTCTGGGAATGGGGAAAGGGGGGGACTCTTTTCATTAGAGTGGTTCTGAGAGCCAGTCTAATTAAGGTGTCATCATGTATCGGCATTGCTGCGCTTCAAAATGGTGGTGGGGGCACTTTATCTAAAGCTCGTTGAATGAGCTTTAGTTAAAGTACCTCCACTACCATTTTGAAGTGTGGGATGAACATTCAGTATGGGGTTGCTAGGACTGTGATACTGAATTTCTCGTCTGTTTGCTTTCTCTGACACTTCAGAGGAATGCCCAGTAGCATATTATCTATGTGACTCATAGGCATTTTACTGCATTTCTTGCTAAGGCAGGACTCCACTCTGGCTTCAGTGGGAGTTGAGAACAATTAGCTACAGGTTGGATTGTCCCCTCTCTGTAGAAATACAGCATAATGGAACAGATTTAAATGATTGGATCTCTGTTGGTGGATATATGTTTCCACATGTAGTTCTGCTAAGGACAATGGACACCAGTTTCTGTCTGCAAGGATCCAGGGCTAGCATTGTTATTATGAAAGGGGTTACTTGCTTGGATCATGCACCTGATGGATTAATGTTGTATTATCATTTGAGTACTTATAGAATTTTGTAACAAACATTTGATTTCCTAAATAGGACACTAGTGTATTTATGTAAGTGTCATTCAGGTTTTGTGAATCTCTATCAATGAGAACTCTATCTCTGTATTCTTAATGAAGTAACCATAATGTTGTAACCCACTCTGTCTCAACGTAGTCTATACTCTATACAACATATTACAAAGGCTAAAATTAAAGGATTTTTTGGAAGGGAAGACAACCCAAACCCATAATATTATATAGCTGACAAAATGCATCAACTGTAGGTTTTGTACCGTCTGTAAACAGAAGATTTACAGTGCCTGAATGCGTCATTGGTGTGATGGGTGTACTGAGGTTTGATTAAGCTGGATATGGAAATTAAAATTTGACTTTATATTCAAGAGAGAAGCTCACACAGTGTGATACTGTGACATCAAGTTTTCTGTTTACCCCTAAGGCTGGTGCTGCAATGACTTCAAGGTTTGATAGTGTCTCTTTTTTTTAAGTTGTTGAGCAGCAGGCTAATAGCTGCACAGCATGATGCAAAGACAGCAGAAAGTAGGGGAATCGGATGTGAATATATTCCCCAGAGAGCTCCTGCTAGGATGGAGCTAACTAACCAGTGCTTTAGTGTTCAAGATCTAGTCTTTTCACACAGAGGTTGCTTTGTTTCTCCACCCACCCTGCTTTATTGTACCCTTTCATATTACAGATTCTGTCACAACATAAATCATGACTTCTGGTTATAACATTGCCTAGTTTGGGGAAATAACTTTGTTCTTATATTTTGCTCTTCTTCTGACATTTTTCCCCTATCCTAGTCTATGTAAGAGATGAGCCTAGTGAATTTAAAAGACTGCATGGATCTGTATTCTCCCATGAAGCTATATATCCATCAGATCATTAAATACTTACTTTATTATAGGAGACTGTGACTTGCTGTTGTGGCAACTCAGAGCCAAAGGTACCACATCCTTGTGTAGCAGGGGCACAAGGACGAACCAGCTGGCAGGACTGTAGCTTCCTCATTCACAAGGATGCAGGGGACGGGGAACACAGTCCATCTTCTTACATTAGTAGCTACTAGAGACGCATCCTGCCTATAGCAGGCAGGCATTCCTAAATCTTTTTTGTGCATGCATATATGTGTAGAAAGGAGTTACAGTCACATAATTACATTTCTGGCATGACCAGTAATTCACTTTATGTACACCCAAATGCCTACTGAAATCACTTGGCGACTGGGCTTTGTGAAGAGCAGGAAGAAGAGAACATTCCATTTTGTACCAATTTCAGAGGGAATGTTTGATCAGGAGAAAAAGACTAATTAGTCTGTTTTTTTTTCTACATGATGAGAGCCAACTCCTCCAGTCTTTATCCGGGCAAAACCCTGATATCAGTAGGAGGCTGGCCTCAGACTGCAGGGTTGGGCCCCAAGCTTGGCTGATGAAGAGGTATGCAAGCTGGTGATGACAGGGTTCCACAATGTTGCTTACCAGCTGTAGCCTTGCTTGCATAAGTGTATTTTCTAGTCAGGCAGAAGAAATAAACATCCATCTGGGCCACACACTGCATCTGATGTAATTTGATTAGCAGTGGCACTTTATTGTAGGTATCTGCAGCCCATAACACAGCAATCCATCTTACAGCTGTGGTACTTATTCCAGGCATCCAAGTAATCTGTGTGGGTGCACAACCACATTAGCACGTTCTAAGCTGGATGCAATATGTGCCTGTACCAAGTGATCCCATGGGCTGTGCCATGGAATGTCCCTTTCAGCCCTCAGGTTGGAGGAGCCAGAACTGGGGTTGAAAAATTCAGGCCTGTGTTTTCCCTGGGGTTCTGCCTATTCAGGTCTGTGCTTATATGCAGAATTATTCATTGAACAAAACACAGAGCACAGTAGGGAACTTTTACCACATTAAAAACCATTGCCTGATATAAGATAAAAGAGATCTTTGTCTGGGCAGCTCTGGAATTCAAAGAGAAATGATATTTTTGTCTTCACAGTCTGTAATTTAAACATTTCTGTGTATGATTCAAAATTCTGAGCAAAGACAAGGGAAAGGAAGGTAAGTGTGCTGCGTACAGCAGCATTAGAGATTGCTATATAAACAACTCTCTTATTTGGAAATGAAGGGCCAGTGCTCTCCTGACTCTGCAATGGCAGTAAGTAAAATTACCTTGTATAAGGGCATGCAGATGCTATCAATCCATTCCAGCTGCAGCCTGGGCAGTTCATCTTTTCTGTTCCGATCAAAAATAGCCTGAATTGAGAGGAAAACAAAAGTATCATGCTTTACTGTGCTGAAATATTTTTACCAATACAGTACAGAGTCAGTTATCCAAACTAATTGGGACCAAAGCCCCTTTATAAGATCAAATTGGTTGACAAAATGAATATTCAACAAATATGTATATATGCAATGTATACAATATGTCTACAGACTTTTATTTCAATATGTCAATTATTTTACATTTTTCTCAGTAGTTAAAACAGTTCACTCTCCTTTTGTTTAGTTACTTGTACCTTTGTACCACATACCATGTAGGTTTATAGTACATCCTACTTTGGATAAATAACTCTACTGTATGTAATCCAACACTTGGATGTTCTGATCAGATTGTTAACAAGAGAACACTTTGTAAACCATAAAAAATCTTTACATACACTTTCTAGTTTTTTGTTCAGATGACCCCAGCTGACTTCCTGCCCCTTGGGCAGGGGCCTGGACTTGATGATCTTCTGAGGTCCCTTCCAGCCCTAATGTCTACGAGAGAGATTTGTCAGCTTTTTTTTTTTTTTTTGAAGTTTGTAAGTTGAAGCTATTTGATTGCTATAACATGCAGTTTCTAAATGTCAGTATAATGCTGCGGGTGGACAAGAGCAAGAACCCTAAAAAGAGATGCATAGTAATTTTGTGTAGACCAGATAATACCATTCTCTGCTACAGAAGAAGCAAAAAGGCTTTGAATTAATTGGAATAAATGAAGAAGAGTATATGTGTCATGCTGCCTTGAGAGGACCCAGGAGCACAGCTGTATCTGGCAGTCTTCTAGCTGGGGAATGATCAGATTGAGCTGGGAGGAGTACTCGTTCTACAGTTTGCTCCTTTGGGAAAGAGAGCTCAACTTCTTGGTCATTTGTGAATCTACCACAGGGAATACTGCCGGGGATGAAGGCAATTGCTGTAACACTTGGAAGTTGACCATGCTGTCAGAGGCAAGGAAAGCAGAGATAAGGAGGAAAGACTTGAGCTCTGTGAGGTTTGAACCCATGTTTCTCACATATCCTCTATACCAGTGTTTCCCAACCAGTGTGCCACAGCACACTGGTGTGCAGTCAGGCACGTCCAGGTGTGCCGTGGCATTTTGGGCTGCAGCCATGCCCCCTGCCTGCTGCTGCTGCAGACATAGACAGATGGGGAGTGTGGCTTCAGCCAGGCAGGGGGCATGGCTCCAACCCAAAATGCTGGCTGGCTGTGCAACTCCCCCCCCCCCGCATCTGGTGTGCTGTGGTGCTTTTTTATTTAGGTAAGTGTGCCTTGGGGCAAAAAAGGTTGGGAAATGCTGCTCTATACCCTCATTTCCTTCCACTTGTGTGAGGCTGTCCTACTTGCTTGATGGGAAAGATGCATGCAACATGAGTCTACTGCTGTTCCCCTGATATGGGTACTTTTAAGTTTTCCTTAGGTTTTCCCTGAACACAAGGGCTTGTCCTGGATCCATGTTTTCTAGCTACTGATGCTAATGTAAGCTAAATTTTCTATACTTTTTGGAAACTTAATATGGAATTAAATCATAGAAGCTTATTGTCAGAAGGAACCTCAGGAGGTCATCTAGTCTAACTCCCTGCTCAAAGCAGCAGCATCTCCAACTAGATCATCCCAGCCAAGCTGTGCTTAGCTGGGTCTTAAAAACCTTTAAGGATGGAAATTTCACAACCTCTCTGGATAGCCTGTTCCAGTGCTTGACCTACCCTCCTAGTGAGAGAGTTTTTCCTAATATCTAACCTAAACTTCCCTTGCTAAAACTTGAGACCATTGCTCCTTGTTCTATGTCACCACTGAGAATGGTCTAGCTCCATGCTCTTTGGAACCACCCTTCATATAGTTGAAGGCTGCTACTAAATCCCCTCTCAGTCTTCTCTTCTGCAAACAAAATAAGCTCAGTTTCCTCCGTCTTTCCCCATAAGTCTTGTTCCTGTGCTGTCTAGCCATTTTCATTGCCCTTCACTGGACTCTCCAATTTGTCCGCATCGTTTTAGTGGGGGCTCAAAACTGGACACAGTACTCCAGATGTGGCTTCACCAGTACTAAATAGAGGGGAATAAGCACTTCCCTCAACCTGCTAGCAGTACTCCCTCAACCTGCTAGTACTACTCCAGTATGCTGTTAGCCTTCTTTGCAACAAGGGGCATTGCTGGCTCATATTTAGCTTATTGTCCACTGTAATGCCCAGGTTCTTTTCTGCAGAGCTGTTGCTTAGCCATTTAGTCTCCAGCCAGTACCAGTGCATAGGTTTGTTCTGTCCTAAGTACAGGGCTTTGCACTTATCCATATTGAACTTAATGAGATTTCTTTTGGTCCAATCCTTCAATTTGTCTAGGTCCCTGAATCGTGGTCCTACCCGCCACTGTATCTACTACTCCATCCAGCTTGGTGTCATCCACGAACTTGCTGAGGGTGCATTTCATCCTATCTTCCAAATCGTTGATGAAGATATTTAACAAAACCAGCCCCAGGACCGACTTTTGGGGCACTCCACTTGATAGTCTGCCAGCTAGACATTGAGCCATTGATTACTACCCTTTGTGCCTGACAATCCAGCCAGTTTTCTGTCCATCTTACAATTTATTAATTAAACCCATACTTCCTTAGCTTGCTTGCGAGAATGTTGTGGGAGATCATGTCAAAAGCAAAATTGCATACGTTACATTAACTGTCCATGCTCATTGTTCTTTCTTAAATGCACAGATATCCTAATGGATCTTAGTAGGAACAGAAGTTTCAAGAAGTTATAGATCAGAAAAGAGAACAGCATTCGGGATGCAATTTGAATTTTTTTCCCCTTTGTTCTTAAGTTAGTTGAGCACTATTAAAATTTTCATTCTCTGGCCTGTGCAGACTTTAATAAGATTTTAATGCAAGGAAATTGTACTTCATATGTACTGCATATTTTCTATGTAGCTTTTGTAGAGCTACATTAGCTTTTGTAGAGCCAGCAGTTCTTGCATTTGCCTCTGTTGAGTGATCTGGAATAGAGTTATCACATGAAATATTTAAGTGACTGCTGTAGTTTTTTAAAATATCCACCTTTTTCAAACGATAAAGCTCCAAATAACTTTAATCCTTACACCCTAAGCTTTGTGAACACCATCAACATTAAATAAATATATGAATATTTAAAATTATGTCAATTAATATGTTAAAGTAAAATTATTTTCTCTTACAGAGGGATTTTGTTAGTGTTTCAAGGACCACTTGATGTCAAATGCACTATGTATGTGCTATATGGAATAGTACGTTCAGTTATTCAAGGCTATATTTGATCCAAGACCCCAGCCTTGTCAGTACTATGGCTGACTAACTGTACTAGAGATAATTCATTTGCTTATGGGCAAAGGAAGGCAGAAATTTAGAACTACTTTGAGAGAGCCATTAACATCCCAGGCTCCTTAGCATACTGTACAGAGCTGATAACAATTGAATCAGATCCTCAGCTGATATAAACGATGCAACGCTTGATTTCATTGTTATGCTGATTTACATCAACTTGGTGCTTCCCATATTGTAGTATGCAAGCGACATTTTTTGTGAATGCTTCCTTGAAGTATCATTATATACAGATTGAAAAGATAGATCACTTTTTTTTTAGTGTTTTGAATATGAACTCCTTAAAAGTCCTTCCTGTGTTTCCCAAGATGATGATCCGTAAGCTTTTAAACATATTTAGATGTGAATAAGGTCTCCTCTTCATTTCACCCACTTCAAATCTTTGTTTTCTTTCTTCCTCTCTGTGGTTTCTGTTTATACTTTGTATCCTTTTTAGGTATTATATCTTATCTAGATATAGTAAATGGACAGACGATCCCAAATTACCCAAGAACCATAGGATTTGTTGTGGGCACACCAAAATGGTTCTTTAGAAAAGATACTGCAAATAAAACAGATATCAGAGATAGCTGACTTGGTAATTGTTATTTCTATGAATATATGGTGATTGTTTGAGTATGGTCTGGGCAATTATAATTACTGCTGTTACAGAATGTCCACAGAGAGTATTAGGGTATCAACAGTATGTGGGGAGTAAGGGTTCAGTCCAAAACTTACTTAAGTCAATGACAGGCTTTGGACTAGGCCCTAAAAAATTCTGCTTTTAGGCTGGTCATATATTTATTCCAGTGTGCTTCTCTGGGCATATCTATATGTAAATTTATGTGCATCTAACACTTAATGTGCTTTAGTCTACGGCACATTAAGGCGTGCAGGTGTGCCTTACACACAGTGCCTTCTGTGTACAAAACTGAGGTGCTTCTTTAAGGAAAAGCAGCGACATGATCACCATTTTCTTACCCTACAAGAAAGTGCATTTCAAGAGTGGTAACAAACTTACTGAAGGGGTTAGTTTGAGTTCAGATCTCTCTCTGTCTCCTTGCTCGAAGAACTCACTGGTTACCAGTTCAGCTGCCTGAAATATAATTATATTAAAGGTAGATACATTTGTTAACTATTTTTACAGTCAAGAATTTCTTACCTAAGGCTCTGACTAAAATATTTTAGCATATGTATATCTGTAAACACAGTAGTCCTGTTCATACGTTTAAATGTGCTTGAGAGCATATGCTAGGCACATGCTTGAGTACCTTGGTGAATTGGGGTTTATAGAGCTGTAGGATGTGGCCATGTTGCAAAAACACATTCTAATTTTCCTTTTGATGCCTGTGGCAAAGACAAGACAAACTGATGGTGGAGTTAGTTGGAGTTTCATGTAACTTACTCAGGCATGGAGAGTAAAATAGACCCCTATGATAGTTCCACGTAGGCATATACAATTATTTCCACAAAAGACTGTAAAGTGTGCATGAGCTGTCTGGGTATTTTACAAGCTGCTGCCTATGAAAACTCTCTCTTTTGTTAGAGAAACTCAGCTGACCAGTAACTTCAGCCAGCTAAAATGTAATCTTAAAACTTTTTGTCCACTAAGATATATTTTGTTCTTTTACTGACATTATTCTAGCACCTGAGCATCTGAAGAACTTGGGGATGACTTTTGGAAATGGAAATGCCTTTGGCAGCATGAATCAAGCTGCTTTTGTTTTGGTTAATGTGTGTTTCTTGGAAGCATACAGGATTTAAAGATAAATTTATTGTTCCAAACTCTAGGAACCTAAAGATAGGTAACTACTGAAATAACTAAATGTACTCTCACCCTTGTATGTGACGGCACACAGGTACACACACAAATATTTGATTATTATTGGGATACAGATATGATTTACATAGCAAAAGGAAGTTTGGCCATTCAAGGTGACATTCTGTTTTTAATGGACTGTTGCACCTACCTATTCTTCTCAGATAAGGTGACAAAAAAAATTTCACACGTGGAACCAAGGCACAACAGGCTGAATTAAGGATGGAATCTGTACTTCATGCTAACTCAATATCCTAGTCTAGCATGGGGAAGACAAATAGAGGTGACAGCCTAGCAGTCAACAAGCAACAGTCCTTAAACATGCTCTATCTTGTAAAAACAGATGGAGTAACATAATAAAATGGCCTTAAATCTTCAGCTAAGCCATGTTTTGCAGGTTATTAGTATGATCACACAGTTTGGACCACACATTTTGGAACATGTAACATAAAGTAAACCCGTATCACTGATTAAAGTTATGGACCAGCATGTCACACACATGAATAATTTAACAGCTTAACAGCAATTAAGTGTTTTCCAACTGCATTGTATACGAATAATCAAGGCGTATTCTTCTCCTTGACTCCTGCTGCTCTGATTCTGCTCTTCTCAGCATTCCATCTCCCTATCTCCTTTTGTATGTTTTATCTGTCTCATCTTCAGGAATGTTTATCCTCTGCACTTTCTCCCTTTTGTCCCTTCCATTTATGTGTTTTTTTCTACCTCCCTCACTTGTCAAGATCTCCCCCTCCAGGCATGGTTGAGGTCAAAAGATTTCTCCAGATGTCCCTCTGCATCCTTATTAGCATCTCTGTTCAACCAGATAATGCTGGCTGCTCAATAGAAAATAGACGTGTAGTTAGGCCACAGGGGCAGGTTTACTTACAGTCCTTGAGAAGCGTAAGAACAGAAAAATAGTTGGTTATAAATTGCAGCACTAGCTCTCCTATAACTCAAAACTCACTCAAGAAACGTTAAGCAAATCTTGCCTGACTTATCCCTATTTCCTATGCATGAACATTAATTAGGTTGAGGCAGGAAAGGAAGGAATACTGCATACAGGAAAATGCCAGAGTTTGGGGACCTGATTCTCCCACTTCTGGATAAAAGTAATTTTCTGAATAAAAGTAATTTTTTATGATATTTTATGCCTATTTCTCATATTCTGCAACAAGAGAATAGGAGCTTTGGAAGGAAATATGCACAAAAATACAGAAAAATTAAAAATTAAATATATTTATATATTTATGATATATCTTTTAAAACTTGAATTCAATACCAAACAGCTGTACTACTTTTTTTAAAGGTAAAAAATTCTTATACAATAAAGGGCTTACTTTGTCTGTCCGTAATGCTCTTGGAACACTCTGATTTGTTAGTGAAAAAACCAATCAGCGTGCAAAGCACTGCCATGATGTCAGGGTCGGAGGGGACAGAGCGGGGGGGCGGGTGAGGCCAGCAGCGCTGTCCCTGCCATCATGGTGGTGCTCCACGGCCTCCAAGGGTGGGGGGGGGCGAGGCCAGCAGCACTGGAGGCAGCAGTGGTGCAGGGTGCTGGTGGAGAGGGATGGAGGGGACGACAAGGCAAGCTCCCCCCCGCCCCGGGGAGGGCTGCAGCAGTGCAGGGTGGTGGGTGGCAGTGCTCCGTCCCCACCTCCTCCATCATTCTTGATGGGCAATTCGCTAGTACAGTAATATTCCAGATCATGAACTGTAGTTGTTGATAATTCCACTGAGGAGAATTAATGTTTTGTACTATCTTCAATATCTCCTCATGTTCCAGAGTCCTACTCTCTTTTAAGCTATTGTTCCTCTTTTCCCTTCTCAAGAAAATCAGACTACTTCATCCCACTTTGCCTCTTTACTAGCCTCTTTCACTTCTGTGTATTTTCATTCCCTCTCTGATCACTATTTCAGGTGAACTGAGTTATTAGCAAAGTGTGGGTCATACTGGTGATGGATATCTGAGGAGAGGAAGTTTTCTGGGAGTTGGTGGCTTTCAAGGCCAGTCTTGACCCAGATGGCCTTCCAGTTACCAAAGGCTCTCTAGTTGCACACTCTAGTTGCTTACCTTGCCAAACTTTAGACTTTAAATGACTGTCTGGGTATAATGTACACCTTGAAGGGCCCTGTCTGATAAACTGTCACTCTAGGAAACGGTTTCTGAACAGTGTCCCAGAACTACAATTTTTAATGTTAAACCGCTGCTAAAACAATAGTCAATTTCTGTTTATCATGGAAAAAATACATATTCCGTCTCCATTATAGCATGTGGATCGAAAGGCTCTGACTTGTATTTTTGCTGGGGGTGGGCAGGGGCTTAAGATGATGGACATGTGGAAAGTTTTACACATTTCAGGTGACAGCCCTCTTCCTGAGGGGACCCAGGGCCCTCAGGTCCCCCAAGTACTGAGCACCTCTGTGTGGATCAGCTGCAAAAAACCTGTTGATGTTCTCAATGTGCAACAGATTCCATCACTGTCATTTGATCACAGAATTACAATTACATGTACTGTAAAAAAACAAAACAGGGTCTAGCAGAAAAGTACCTGCACAGGGCCAACATTTTTTTTTTATGGAGTTAAAAGGTTAATGGAGGAGGAGAAGTCATAAAATAAGATCTCTTCAGGTGTCTAAATATTACTCAGCAGAACCAGCAAATGAAAAAATTGTGCATTAAACCATGCCTTGGAGAACCCCCCTGCTATTTTTTACTGCATTAATACCACTGTAAATTGACTGCAGTTCTGGTCCCTTGTAAGTCAGGGCCCTGGGAATACTGTCCCACCAGTCCTGCCTCTTCCCAGCCCTGCTATTAATCATGACTTGCCTGTCTTGAAATCTCCCACGGTTTGGTCACAGCTCCAAGGTCACAGGCTGTCATTAGCATTGATCTGGAAAACAGAAATGAACAATACAGGCTGAATAAAGCTTTGTTGTATTTCTAAACAAATCTGCCCTGGACACACAAATAAGGAAAAAAGGCAGAATTAAAACCTTGTCTAGCAGGAACCTTCTTTCTAGCAGGACCAGCGCTGTTTGAAATCTTAACTGTTAGTGTAGTTTTCAACTCATCATTAATGCATTAGGCTTCCTAAGCATATAGATCATTAGATAATGATTTTTCAATGTAATGCATTGTGTGTTTAAAAAGAAACAGGTATCACTACAAACTAGGCAACTGGCATTGATGCCTACACAGTCAGATGGGTGGCAAATTGGCTTGATGGTCGCACCAAGAGAGTGGTTGTAGATGGGTCGTTTTCAGCCTGGATGGATGTGGGCAGTGGAGTTCCCCAGGGTTCGGTCCTCAGGCCTGTGCTATTCAACATCTTTATCAGCGACTTGGAGGTGGGTGTGAAAAGCACTCTGCAAATTTGCTGATGACACAAAGATGTGGGGAGAAGTGGGTACACTGGAGGGGAGGGACAGAATCCAGCTAGATCTAGACAGGTTACAGGGGTGGGCGGATGAGAACAGAATGGAATTCAACACAGACAAGTGCAAGGTGCTGAATCTAGGAAGAAGGAACCTGCAACATACCTATAGGCTGGGGAACTCCTTTCTCAACAACACAGTGGCTGAAAGGGATCTTGGAGTCATTGTTGACTCCAGGATGGACATGAGCTGCCAGTGCGAGGAAGCGGTCAGTAATGCTAACCGCACCTTGTCATGCATTTACAGATGCATCACAAGCAGGTTCAGGGAGGTCCAGAGATCCTTCCCCCTCTATGCAGCACTGGTCAGGCCACAGTTGGAGTACTGCGTACAGTTCTAGGTGTTGCACTTCAAGAGGGATGTGGCTAACCTTGAGAGGGTCCAGAGGAGGGCCACTCGCCTGGTCAGGGGGCAGCAGGCCAGGCCCTATGAAGATAGACTAAAGGGGCTGAATCTATTCAGCCTCCACAAGAGAAAACTGAGAGGGGATCTGATGGCCATCTATAAACTTACCAGAGGGAACCAGTGGAAAATAGGTGAGGCTCTGTTCCTCTGGGCACCATCTGGGATAACAAGGAATAACAGCCACAGATTCATTGAGAGTAGGTTCAGGCTTGATATCAGGAGGCATTACTTTACAGTTAAGGCTGCCAGACTCTGGAATGAGCTCCCAAGGGAAGTGGTGCTCTTCTCTACCTTAGGGGTCTTCAAGAGGAGGTTGAATAGATATCTGGCTGGGGTATTATGATACCAGCACTTGTTTCCTGCCCAGGGCAGGAGGTCGGACTTAATGGTCTGTTCAGGTCCCTTCCGACCCTAGAAACTATGAAACTAGCCACTACTTTTGCTGTACTACTAATAATTGTGATATTTTAATATACCCCGTAGCATGTTCTTTACCCATGTTGTAAGTTAAAGGAGTTATTATATAATAAAATGCTGACTGGATTAATTTATTTGCCTGTTTATAAGTGACTGCTCTAGCAAGAGAACCTATAATCAAAAGAAGCATACCAGACACTGTTTAAGCAGTTTCTATCACTCATCTGTAATAAAAAATTTAGATTTACTGTAAGGGCTACACTGTTGCACTGTAGTTTAATATCTGGCTACAACCATGTTTTATAAGCATTAGAAGAAAGAAACCATTCAGCTGTAGAAAGCGTTTATGTATGGTACATGATGCAGATAAAAGTATGAGAAACCTTACATGAAGAACAAGGACACTGAAAATGAAGCATCAAATATACTGCTCCATCTCTGAAATAAGCAGTGGGTGAAATGATATGGAAAAAAGTCAAAACTTCAGTCAAAACTCCAAAATGAAACAAATTGTTTATGAAATTTCATCTAAATCAAGAGATACATGCATCTGTGAATTAGAGTTTTAATATCTCAGTTGTGCCCAAGCCACACCTAATCTTTGAGGTTGTGGTTGAGGTGGGCACTGTGAAGATCTGGCAAACCTGCTGGGTTGGACCTTCAACCCTTTCACCAACTGGCAGCTCAAGGAGGAGTAGGGTGCACTGTTTTTTCAAATAGGGTATTCCCTCATGGGACCAGAATGGGAAAGAAGTGCAATGAGGGGTAGGGGTAGGGGGCAGGAAAGAAGAATCAGTAAGTCCACAGTAAGGTAGAGGGATGGTGCAAAATGTCAGAATATTTTTGAGAAACAGGAGAAGGGCTGAGCTGGGGAAAGAGGAAAGAAAATGTATCTGGATCAGAGGAAGTAACAAAAAGAACAGATTCAGGTACAAGGTAAGTGTGAAGGTGAGGCCAATGCTGACCAACCCTATCAGCTTTTAGTAAAAGTGGATTCAAACAGTAGCTGCTCTGACCAGGATTGTCAGTACAATGTTTCCTGGATCAAGTGGCCTCGGTTTTACAGGCAATATCCAATAATTATGGCAAAATACTTAGTTATTTTAAAACAATGTGACTATTCCTTACAACTGTAAACCTTTTACGAAGTCAGTATACTAGAAATAATTAAATATAGGGATATCTTAAAGTAATCAGAAAGCTTTGGAATAATGGCACTCACTTACTGAAATATTTCACGGTAGCTTTTGACATTCCAATCATAGTCACCTTTACTGACAAGTTCAAAAAATGCAGTCCTTCTCCTGCAACAAAATACATAATCAGGGGAGAAAGAGATACTTCTAGGACTGTGCTGTCATACAAATGCTTCTGTGAGAGTACATCACTACCTTAATGTTAGAAAATGTTACACTGACAAATTTTGAACATTAGTACTGTCTGATAAAAACAGACTGTACTGCGCAGTATTTACACACAGAAAAGATAAGGAAATAAATGGCACCATAATACTGAGAGTTCTGTGAGAAGATGAAATGCTTCAACTGCAAAAACACAAAGCTAGTAGGGACTTAAGCCCATAAAGTATACCTTAAAAATACTTTGCATTTGTATACTGCTTTTCATCAGAGGCTATCAGAGCAGTTTGCAAACATGAGTAAATACTGTTATTTCCTATTTAGAGATGGGAACATTGAAGCTCAAAAATGTTTTATGATTTGTCCAAGGTCATGTGATGACTTGTCTTTTTCTTGAATAGAAGCTAGGTTTCTCCACGTCATTTGGTGCTACAACTGCTGGAATATTCTGCTTATCCCCACAAGACAGACAAAAATATTGTCCAGAAGATGATCCAAATTGATGCTTTCTGTTTAACTTTCTTAATTATGTTATGTAGAAACCCACAAAACCACATGCAGTCTCTCCATCAAACCCTGTGTTAATTTTTCATTCAAGTAGGCAGTGGGTATACAGCAATAGTATGTGAGAAACTGAGCTGGCTTTAGGGAAAATGGTGCCCTGGGCAAACTGAATTTGCCACCCCCCAAGTCAGCAGCACTGCTGCAAGCAAAGGCAGGCAGGCAGGGGTGCAGTCCAGTGGGGATGTAGAGGCATGGTGCACCAGGCAGGTGGGTGGGCAGGAAAGTGCTGTGCAGGATCAAGGCAGGCAGACTGGAGCAGGTGTCACCCCATCCACACGTGCCTGGCCTGACTCCTGAGCAGTGGCTGGAGGTGGGGGGGGTGGGCTTGGCTAGGCACTGCTCTTCCTGCCTGGGGCAGGAATTGACCAGGACAGCAGGGGTAGAGCACTGCTGTGGGCACGAGCTGCTCGTGTGTGTGTGTGTGTGTGTGTGTGTGTGTGTGTGG